GCCCATCTCTCTGGCTTTGATATGATCAAACACGTCCCAATCTTTAGCATCCCCAGCCCAAACCACACCCCGCTGTGGGACTGACCCTCCCTCAGGTGCTTCGTGTTTGCCAGAGAGGAGCATCCCCAGCCCAAACCACACCCCGCTGTGGGACTGACCCTCCCTCAGGTGCTTCGTGTTTGGCAGAGAGGATGCAAATCCCCCCCCGGGAAGAGCTTAAGAGGAGCGGTGAGGGATGCTTTCCCCTCCAGCACCTGCATTTTCTTCTCTAGTCCCTGTCTTGGGTGGTTAAACCTTCCCTAAAACCCGGTTTAGCTGCAGCAGCTCAACCGTTGCCGTCAGCGAAGAAAACAAAGAGGCGCCAAGCGAAATATTGGGGATCCCCAAGAAACCTGTGGGCAGCTGCAATCACTGGCCTCCAGCGGGTAAGTCCCTCACCGAAGTATTTTTGAGCCCGGATATCTGTGAGCGGGTCAGCTCCCCTTAGAATCAGTGGGTTTTTTGGGGGTATGAATATCCCTATCATCTCCCCAGGAGAGCGGTCGGGTCGGGTCTCGCCTCTATCGAGGGGTGGAAGGAGCCCTGGCCAGCGTACGTTGATTTTCTGGGCTCTTTTACAACATTTTCTTAAATTTTACAGAAGTCATTTGGCTACTGAGGGATTTAATAGCACGTCGGAGCAGGTGGGCACGGGACGCCCCCGAGGCCGATGCTCTTACAGCTGTGAAAATCGCCGCGGTCTCGCCCCTGGCTTAGGGCACGCCTTTTAGTTTGAACAAATCCAACTATTTCTCTAATGCACCGAGGGGTTCTTTTGGGTTTTTTTTAAAGTGCTTGTATTAATTACAATTAGGCACACAATTAATGTGCTTATAAACAATAAACCCGGCAGAAACTCCAGCCGCAGCTCAAATTTGCATTTTTCCAGCATGTATTTTTTACATCCAGACCTGCTTCGATGTCCGGACCCCGTCAGGAGCATCTTCCGCTCACGGCCCCGATTTACAGCCCGAGCTCAGAAACGCCGCAGGGATGATCCCGCGCTTCCTACATTGCATTCCCAAATTTTTGCTCGCTTTTTCCCTCCTGCCAGCGTGCGATACACGGGGACACGCTCCCGTCCGTCCCGTCCTCT